AAAAGAATAGACAAAGAAGGGGAGGGAGTTGGAGACTAGCAAGTTAAAGGACAAACTGGGCTACCCGTGACCTTGTTTTGAGGAAGAGGAATGGGAAGGGGGAGGAGGAAGATAAACAGACACAAAGTATTGGTGTAGGTGGAGAGTATGCGCACATACATGCATGGGGGGGAGAGGGAGAGAGAGAGAAGAAGGAGGAGGAGGAGGAGGAGGAGGAGGAAAAGGAGGAGGAAGAGGAGGAGGAGAAGGAGAAGGGAGAAATAAGCAATATAAAATAAAAATGGTTAGCTTACTCGTCAATTCGGCACATTGTAGTGTATCTTGGGAAGAGCCTCAGCGAGGGATTCTAAAGGCCAGCCTGTAGTAATATCTGTGGGGAACTGTATTGATGATGTTAACTGACATGGGAAGACTCAGCCCACTATGGGCAGCACCATTCCCCACGCTGGGGTTCTAGACTGTACGAAGAGGGTAAAGTAAACGGAATGTAAGCATACATGCAGTCTCCACTCTGCTCTTGGTGGTGAACGTGGTGTGACCAGCTGCTTCAAGTTCTTGCCATGACGCCCCGCCTCAGTGACGGGGGTAACCTGGAACTGTGAGCTGAAATAAGTCCTTTGTCTCCTGAGCTGCTTTTTTTTTTTTCAGGGTGTTTTCTCACAGCAACAGGAAATGAAGGGAGTGGGAAACAGAAAAGTGGAGAGAGTAAACCTCAGGGATCTAAGCCTTCCTGTTTCTGGGGTTCTGGGTTTGATGACCCATGAGTTCCTTTGCTTTAGATATGTGGGTTGCAGGCAACTGTATGCAAAAATCTCAGCACACTGTCATAACAACACCGGACATGTTCCTGGAAGAGACTAGGAACCTCACTGAGCATGTGAGGAGCTTGGTATAGACACTCATATCCTCATCAGAAGAACGAGCATGAAGAGCACATGGAAAGTCACTGTAGTTCTGTAGACTGCTGTTAATCTATGTGACCATTGGGGCTCAGTTGATCTGTTAGAATAGGGACTCTTGATGACACAGAGCTGGTTTGCTATTTCAAAGTGATGTGACATTGATTTGTGAGCCAGGGCTGGGAGATAGATGACTGAGCCGCATCAGAAATGCCACAACATCCTGGGTGAGTGAGGGCACTGTAAAAATAGTATCGGGATGGAGAGATGGCTCAGCGGTTAGGAACATGGCTGTTCTTCCAGAAGACCCAGCTTCAATTCCCAGCACCCACATGGTGGCTCAACAACATCTGATGCCCTCTTCCCTGACTTCTGTGTGGTCTGTATGCATAAGGTTCCCAGGCATGTACACAGGTGAAACATTCATACACATAAAATAAAAAGAAATAAATATTCTTTAAAAATAGGATCAGGTAGGGGATTGGAGAGATGCCTGAGTGGTTAAGACCAATGACTGCTCTTCCAGAGGTCTTGAGTTCAATTCCCAGCAACCACAAGGTACCTCACAACCATCTGTAATAGGATCTGATGCCTTCTTCCGGTGTGTCTGAAGACAGCGACAGTGTACTCATGTGCATTAAGTAAATCTTTTAAAAAACATAGCATCAGGTGTGACTTGTTGGAGAACCCTGTTATTAAGGTCGCGGTCCACCTCTCCAAACTGGGAGCAAAATGGAGGACTTCCTTTCCCAGCAGCACTTCTCATTCTCTTGTTAACCTTATTTGGAGAATGTCTCTGAGCTGACCTGATCTGAAGCATGAGTTATGTGTGTGCATAACTCAGCACACACATCCCGCTCTAGTTTCCTGCCCATATGATAATTAGGTACTGTGAATGGCCAATCAACCTGTCTTAGTTAGGGTTTTACTGCTGTCTGCAGACACCCAAGGCAACTCTTATAACGACAACATTTAATTGGGGCTGGCTTACAGGGTTCAGAGGTTCAGTCTATTATCATCAAGGTAGGAACATGGCAGCATCCAGGCAGGCATGGTGCAGGAGGAGGTGAAGTTCTACATCTTTATCTGAAGGCTGCTAACAGAATACTGACTTCCAGGGGGCTACAAGGAGGGTCTTAAACCCCACCCCCACAGTGACACGCCTACTCCAACAAGGCCACACCCACTCTAATAAGGCCACACCTACTTCAACAAGGGCACACCTACTCCAACAGGGCTACATCTTCTAATAGAGCCACTCCCTGGGCCGAGCATATATAAACCATCACACAACCCTTTCCATCTGTACCCCTAAGAGCCCTTATACACCTTAATCCTTGAACAGTAAAATAGAATGAATGGTCTCACTGAAGCTGTCTCCAGAAGTCCTTCTGTCATACTCACAGCCAACTGAACCCTGCTCTCTACTTCTCCCTCATGAGCGGGTGGCCAATGACCCCATGGAGAAAGAAGACCTACGGTGATTCACCAGTATACATGGTCACATGAGGTCCTGTTCTACCTGCTTGCCCTCCAATCTCAAGGGACTATAAGACTATAAGAGGATATTTGTACACTAAGAGCCTGTATCAATCCCTAATTTCTGGTTCTCAATCTGTGCATCAAGACCCCCTTGGGGGTTGCAAATGTCCTGCATATCAGATTATTTATATTATGATTCATAACAGTAGCAAAATTACAGTTATGAAGTAGCAATGAAATAATTTGATAGTTGAGGGTCACCACAGCATGAGAAATTGTATTAAGAGTCATTAGGAGGGCCGGGCGGTGGCGGTGCATGCCTTTAATCCCAGCACTTGGGAGGCAGAGGCAGGCGGATTTCTGAGTTCAAGAGTTCGAGGCTAGCCTGGTCTACAGAATGAGTTCCAGGACAGCCAGGGCTACACAGAGAAACCCTGTCTCGAAAAACAAACAAACAAAAAAGAGTCATTAGGAAAAGCCAGGCGGTGGTGGCACACGTCTTTAATCCCAGCACTTGGGAGCCAGAGGCAGACAGATTTCTGAGTTTGAGGCCAGCCTGGTCTAGTCTACAGAGTGAGTTCCAGGACAGCCAGGGCTACACAGAGAAACCCTGTCTCGAAAAACCAAAAGAGTCATTAGGAAAGCTGAGAACCACTGTTCTGTGTGTCTGGGGCTCAAGGAATATCAGGTTACAATCTTGGGTCACAAAGACTCCAGAAGCCCAGGTGAGCGAGAAGGGATGATACGTCATCCCCCAAGACCTGAACCCAAGAGGGATGATCAATTGTACAACTGGGAACTCACACATGATTGTTAAAAACTCTCAGAAAAATTCTAGTGACTCCACTTGTTTTACTGTCTTCCTCCTGTAATCAGCTACTCCGGCTGCAGCCAGGGTCTCCCTGCACCCGTGGATTCCGAACAGACAGAATTTCTAACTGTTCGCAGTGATATGGAACAGTAGCCAAGTCAGCCCCATGGGGGAAAATGCCTTCAGTGGAATATTTTAAATCTCTTGGCTGTCCTGTTATTCATTCGACTACAAGCCCAAACATCAGTCCCGAGACTAAAGGGTTTGATGAAAAGCCATTCAGCTTTCAGGAATTATGGGTCTCAGTTACGCCTCCATCACGTCCTGTAATATATTGAAACTAAAATAACCTTAAGGCAGGCAATTTAAAGTGTCCCACCCCTGGTCCTGAAGAATTGTACCCACACACTGACATGAAGACGCAACGGGGTCTCGGGGGTTCATTTGTAATGCCGAGAGCAGCCACACTGCTGTCATTGGGGATTGATGAATGAGCAACTAAATTTTTTTCTAAGAAAATGCTTGGGATTTTTCTTTTCAATTGAAACTAAGGCTGACAGGCAGTGTGCAGTGGAGATTTTTTTTTGGTCAGGCTTTTAGAATGAAAACAGATTTGGGGTGCCCTCACATCAGCTGTGGATGGGGAGCTGATTTCAAATTTTAAGTCTAGGAAGTTTATAGCAAAGCCTATAGCTTTGGGGTGTTGAAGGACTCCACAATTTGGACCCTGTAAAAACTACTAAATGCAGGCCTGGGCGGGGGGGTTACTCAGTAAAGAACTGAATTGAAAGTACAAGAGGGGGACTGGAGAGATGGCTCAGTGGTTAAGAGCACTGACTGCACTTCCAGAGGTCCTGAGTTCAAATCCCAGCAACCACATGGTGGCTCACAACCATCTGTAATGAGATCCGATGCCCTCTTCTGGTGTGTCTGAAGACAGCTACAGTGTATTCATATATAATAAATAAATAAATCTTAAAAAAAAAAAAGTACAAGGGGCCTAAGCTCTATTCCCAGAACCCACGTATAAAAAAAGCCAGGCCTAGGAGTATGTACTTTTAATTCCAGTGCTAGGGAGGTAGAGACAAGAGGATTCCTATGGGCTCACTAGCCAGCTATCCTGGACTACTTGGTGAGCTCCAGGCCAGTAAGAGACAGTGTCTTAATCAACAAGGTGGACAGCTCCAAAGTATGACACTTGGTGTTATTGCCTTTTGACCTCCAAACACACCCATGTGCACACCCCGAATGAACTCATAGGCAAACAGCCCTAAAGAATATATATATATAT